AAGGTGCCTTGTCACTCCATTGGCTGACTGCTTCCAGACTTGTCCCCTCCAGACGTCCCCTCCTCTGCCACCAGAGTTCCCTTCCTAGGATCTGTCATCCACATGGCAACTTCACAGTTGGTTTCTGTCCTAATATTTATTTTGCTCAAATCTAAATTGGTGTATATCTTTAAGCTCGTTCATGCCTTACACACTAACAGCTGTGAAAGCACACATGATTTACTGTCACACAACAGAAAATATTCATAAAGCATATCTGATAAAGGACTTGGGTATGGGATATGTAAAGGATGCTTACAACTCTATAACAAGGAGAAAAACAATTCAATTTAAAAATAGTAAAAGATTTAAATAGACACCCTACAAAAGATAATATACCAAGCCAATAAGCACATGTTGATGATGATGATATGTTCAATATCATTACATATCAGACAAATGCAAATTAAAACCTCAATCAGCACTAACTCTAAAATTTAAAAGATTAATAATTCAAAGTTGGTGAGAATCTGTAATAATAAAAGCATAATATGCTAATTTAACCAAATGACCTTCTGGATGACCTTCCAGACAAACCAGGGGCTGCAAGGGAGGCCTGGGTCCTGGGTGCCAGAGGGAAGCCAGTGCCTGCAGCCAAGGGGAAGGAAGGCCTACTCTTGAACGAATTTCATGCATCAGGCCTCTTGTGTGGAATAACTGAAAGTCTCTTACAACACTGGGAACAGTATAAAACGGTATGGACCATTTGTAAAAATAACAAAACACAACAAAACAAACAACTTAGTATTTCCTTAAGAGTTTAAAAGTATATTCAAAAAGCATGATTAACAGGTATGCATACTTTATTAGGCCTAGAAATATACACGGAATAAATTAGGGTTAAAACAAAGTTAAATATACAGTTACCATAGAACCCAGCAATTTCATTTCTATTCAATCATTTCATTCAAGAAAAATGAAATATTATGGCCCCCATAAGACTTGGACCTGAATATTGGGAATGGGGACAATAGCAAGCTTCTCTCAAAGAGATGAGCACTTGCTGGAGGGTGGGGGAAGCAGCCAGGGTCCTCTCAGCTTGACCACTGACTCACTCTAGGGCTCAGTATTGGAGTGCTGCACCCAATGCAGGGCCTCCATTGCATGAGTGGGGATCGGGCTGCAGGAGGGAACTTTAACGGAGAAAATAAACACGTCTTTGCATTTAGATAGGTTGCTCTGACATTGCTGTGAGGTCTGCCAAACTGGCAACCCAGGGTGAAGATTATTCACACACACACCCACACACAAAACAAAGCGAGAGACAGCAAGAGACTGGGACAGGCAGGGTTTCACTTTTCCTTTTCAATAGCTTAGCCCCAATTCAAAATATTACAGACCAAACGGGGTCTCGTTCATTGGTCCAAAGTTGGGGGCCTGTGGTTATCAGCAAAACAGCCCCAAACTAGCTTAGGTCAAGTTCATGTGGCAGCATAGGTGCACCCGAGGAGGGTGTAGCCAAGTCTTGGCCAGCATAATGAAGCTGGTACAGGCACACCTTGTTTTATTGCAGCCACTTTATTGTACTTCACAGGCGCTGCATTTCTTGCAAATGGAAGGCAAGACCCTCTACCAGTAAAAAGATTAGACTCACTTCATTGCGAGACTTACTTTATCACAGTGGTCTGGGCGAACACGCAGTATCTGATGTGTGCCTGTACTCTGCCGTGCGAAAGCTCCTCTCACTGCTTCCATTTACATTAAGGTGCCCATGGTGGGCCCGCAGTGATATCTAGATAAAACACAATTATCTTACCTTGGACAGGTTTCTCCGTTCTTCACAGACTGTGGTAAGCAGAACGGCTCCCCCAAGATGTCAGCACCCTAATGCCTACAACGTTGACAATGCTCTAGTAAATGGCAAAAGAGACTTCGCAGCTGAGAAGTGAGTTTCAGTTTGGAGATCATCCCAGGTGATGTGGTGGTCCCTCTCCCATCACGTGAGGCCCCTAATCACCTGAGGCCTTAAAGAAGAGGACTTCCCGCAGCTGGGGCAGAGACCCGTGACGCACGTGAGAATACCTGACGCTGGAGGAGCACACGGACAGCTTGAGAAGGGATGTGAGTGGCTTTTACCGCAAAGACTGGACTGAGGCTGACAGCTAGCAAGGAAGAGTGGAACTCAGCTTACAGGAACAGGGAACCGAATTCTGCCAGCCACCTGGACGAGCCTGGAAGCACAGCCTCCAGAGAAGCACCCAGCCCCGCTGACAACCTGGGTCCAGCCTAGGGAGGCCTTCAGCAGAGGACCCCGCTGGGCCCAGTTGTGCCCCGATTTCTAAGCTCGGTAAATGGGAGATAATACAGGGTGTTATTTTAAGCCACTAAGTTTGTGTTCATTTGTCCTGGCAGCAATAGAAAACTAATACATTGACACTTTTTTTTTTTTTTTTTGAAGAAGCAAGCAGATTTCTTAAGCAAAAGTGACTGAATATAGTTCCCTTTCTGCACTGCTCAAGCACAATAGTTACCACCTCTACTCCTCTGTGGCCCACTGTATATTGGGAGCCTAGGATCTGTTTAGGGGATCTTCTCTCCAAAGCATGCTAGAACACACTGGGTTGGAGAGTAGGCTTCAGTGAGAGCACACCTCAACAGGAAAACCAATCATCAGGCTCCTGTACTAACCCAGTGGAGGGAGGGCATGGTCAGCTGGCATGAGATCCGATGGGAGAGGGAGATGCTGATAGCCAATGGGTCTAGAAAGGCTGGCTAGGTGGAAAGCAGTCCCAATGAGTTAGAGATGGAATTTAAGAGGAGGGATAGAATTGGGGAGAAATGATCATGGCGTAAGTTTAGTTTGGGACATGTTGAGTTTGAGAGGCTTGTGGAAGAAATATTGAGGTGATATCCAGCAGGTAAGTGGATATGGGAAACTGAAGCTCAGCTGATTCTCAGTTTGGGAATTATTAATATACAAGAGGCCGGTTGCACAAAATTTGTGCAAGAGTAGGCCTTCCTTCCCAGGGGCTGTTGGCACTGGTTTCCCTCTAGCACCCGGGACCTGGGCTGGCTTCCCTCCATCCCGGCTTCGGCTTCATTGGGAAGGATGTCCGGTCTAATTAGCATAGTACCCTTTTATCATTATAGTTAGGTTGATAAATCATGTGAGTGTAAGAGATAACCCAGAAGACGCTTATGGGTTTTCTTTTACTTTAAAATATAATAAGGAATGAAGAGATACATATAAGTAACAGAGATTTTGTTTGCATGAGGTGGATTAGAAAAGGATTGGAGGTGAGAGAAAAAAGGAAGGAGTTAGTGTCCAGACAGTACATGATCACTCTTACAGGAGGAAAAGGAGGTAGTGGGAAGATGTGAAACTAGAGAAGAATGTTCCTGTTAGCCAGCACGGAGCGCTGCTGGCCCAGGACAGCTAGACCCTGCCTGGACAAATGGTGATGTGGAGAACTGGCCACTCATAGACACACAACAGCATGGTGTTTACCAGAGGGAAAGGGGGGTATCGAGGGAAAGGGATAAATGGTGGTAGAGAGGGGAAATGGTGATGGAAGACGACTAGACTCTGGATGGTGAACACACATTATAATATACAGATGATGTATTAGAGAATCCTATGTAATTGTATTAACCAATGTCACCCCAATACATTCAATAAAAAATACAAAAAAGAAGAGGGAGGCACAGGAAAAGATGACTGTGTTCAACCAGCCACTTGTACACAGGGAGTTCCATAAGCTGGTGTTAGCAATTTGAGAAATATTAATACTGGGTTCCACTTGGGTGCATCCCTCATTCAGTGAAGATTGAGCTATTCCAAAATCATTTGCAGGGAAATTGGAGACCCTTCCTGTCTCCCTATTTGTGTGAAAACATTACTATCTTAAACAAGACTGAAAAATCTACTAGCTTATGCAACAGTTGCCTTTGCATTCAATAGTTTCCTCATGAAAGCACACACAGACTTGTCTCAAGAGCCTGGGAAGGCATTGGAAGCTGCGCACACAGCAGCAGGGAGGGAGGGTAGGTGTTCAGTATGAAACTGAGGGGGGCTCCCTGCCGGACAACCAGCTGTGTGGAAGCAGCTGGCTGTGCTCTTCCCTTTCCCAGATGGTCGGGATGGCCTCAGCAACAATTAAATTCAACCCATTCCATAGCACCAAAGGGTTATTTTAGGCCATGGGACCAGATGCGACACCTTTGTTCTCTTTCCCAATGCCTCTAGTAGTTTGGGCTGAGAATAAAACCAGCTGTCAAGGTTCTTTTAAATTTTCCACCACACCTGACGTAAGCTGGCAGTGTGAGGCATCTCTAGGATCTTTTATTGTTGTCTTTTAAAATTTCCCTTAGAAGGCTCCAGTGGCGCAATCGGTTAGTGCGCGGTACTTATAAAATTTCCCTTAGACACAGGCCCAATATTGTTGCATTCAAATACATTACTAGGTCAGAGATGAAAAAGTACTTAAATTTTTATTCTACTTTGTATCAATGACACACACACACACAAACACACACACAGAAATTATTTAGATCACTTAATAAGTTATACATTCCATGTTTTAATATTAATAACAATAACATAAATGATCATTTCCTGAGTTAACAGTGCAATGTAAAATTGAGTCTGTATTGCTAATACATTTTACAGCATAGAAACATGATCCAAATGATCATTTACTTTATCGTGTCATAAAACACAAGAGCTCATCGTAGAACAGTGAGACAATTTAAACAGTAAGAAATCTTGTGACTCATAACAAACAACCTGCATGTGTTTGTTGTCATGATTGACTTTCTGGGTCAAATAGCAGTAGTAAAATAAGTTATGGTATAAAATAAAGTCAACAGGTTATCCATAGTGATGGAATATTTGATTTCATTTAAGAAACAAGCCTGGAGTCTCATTAACCTCTTAGTATATACAAAAATGTTGTCTTAAAAAAAACCCAAGCAATCACAAATTTTGATAAAACAGTTGAGTAAAAGACGACGACAGCTCTTCATGAGGCAGTAAAAGCATGGATCTCATCTTTGGAAAAGTTAAGGTAATGCAGCATCCTGAAAAACAAATATAAAGCACAAATCTCTTAGGGGAAGAGTTTAAAAATAAAAAAGTAACATCAAAATTTATTATAAAAAACATAGTACTTTTTCATTTTCCCCACTTACCATGTACTGTAAAAAAAAATAACACAATGATCACTTCTAAAAAATTAACAATAATTCTTTAATATTATCAAGTATCCAGTCAGTGTCCAACTGTCTCACAAGTGCCATAATTTTTAAAAGTTTACTTGAATCAAGATTCTTTTAAAGTCTACTCATTATAATTAGCTGATAAAATCCTATATAATAAAAGCCCAATATGCTAAGTGTCCATTCAACCAATCAAAGTATATGCTAAGGCTGCTCAACCGCTCACTATGACATGCATTGACCACCAGGGGGCAGACGCTCTTGACCAGTAGGTTAGCTTGCTGCTGGAGTCTGGCCAATCGGCACTGAGTGAGATCGGCGGACATGCCCTGGAACCTTCCTGCAGTCCTTCTGACTGTCCAACCTCCCAGATCTCTCCCCAGTCCTAATCGTGCACCACTGGGATCTCTCGGCATGGTCTGCGCCCTCTCGAATTCTGGGACCCCTCTGGGGATGTCAGAGAGCCGGTTTTGCCTGATCCCTACTGGCTGAGGGACCCCACCGGTGCACAAAGTGGTGCACCAGGCCTCTAGTCTTTTAATAAGATTCCCTTCCATCTCTCTCTCCGTCTGTGGGTACTGCAATTAGATCTTTACGCACCGAGTAACCCACAGTCCTCATTTTGCCTGTAACTTATATCCTCTTATTGCCTGTAACTTAATAATTGGGTCTAGAACCTAGATCAGGTCAAATTCTTTTTCACAAGACTACTCCATAGATAGTATTCTCTCATTAGGAAGCACATAATACCTGACTGCCTCTCTTTTGGAATGCTAACAATTATCCATGACTTATGATCTATCCATTAGTAGTTCATTAGGGTCTGAAATTCGTGATATTTACTTCTATCATTCTTTCTTCATTTATTAAATAAGGGACTCTGTAAAGAAAAAAGTCTCATTTATTATGTGGTTACCCTGAAATACACCCCATATAGAAAAGGCAACATAATGCTTGTTTTGTTTTTTTTCTTTCTTTCTTTACTCACTAGTTTTTAAAGTAAGGAGTTAATCCCCACAGTATTCTATCTTTACTCTCTCCACTGAACCAAAAAAGCAGAAATACTGCTTATGGGTAATTCGACTTGGAAAACACTATAAATGGAGAATGAAATCTTAGAAATGGCTGTTTAAAACATTCCTGAACATAAGAAACATTTATTTAGTACTTACTATATGTAGTCGCTGTGCTAAGCACTTCACATACATAGGGTTCTTTTTTCTACCACGTTGCTACTCACCTCATTCCTTGTTCTGTAAATGGGGCTGGTCCACAAATGCAGATGAGAACTTTGGAGTTGTCTAAACTTCTTTTCAAAAATTCAGAAAGAAGACCTGGTGAAATACATCCCTTTTTGCCATTCCATTCAGAAGTAGGTTGTGAGAGAACAAATTGAACATCAAATCTAGAGGCAGAAAACATTTTCTTTTTAAATCCATTATTTTAACATATGATCAACATGTTTCAAGTTCACTAAAACATCTTTTTTCTCCTCTTGAAAATGATATAGTATGTAAAAACTGATACACTCGCTAGAAAAGCACTACAATGAATTATAAACAAAGATTTAACAAAAACATACAGGTAAACCCATATTTACTAAGGATTAGCTTTTGCTACAGAAAAGAGGAGTAATTTGGCATCTTTTATTGAACTCATTAGAAAGGGATCTCAAAGAATTACCTATTCTTATTAATACTCTGCTTGTATAAGTCAAGTAAAGAACACTGATCAGTGACATGTGCACTTTAATCTCCGATCAAACCTTTCATGAGTTCTAGATCCTTATAACCAACATTCTATTCGACTTCATACTGTTGCTGTCTCAAAGGCCTCAACCTCATCTTACAATCTCTCTGCCCCACACCTGACATTCTCTTTGAGGATGGTGCCAAAGTCCCCTTGGTTGCACAACCAGAAACCTGGGGTTTATTCTGGGGACCTCTCTCTGTATCTCCTCCCCCTCCCCCCCATGTCCACATCCTCACCAAGACCTAGCTCCCAGCTAACTGTCCACTTCTTTGAGTCTTCACTGCCATACACGTCCATTCTTGCTTCTTTCTGTAATGCTTCTATCATGTCCCATTATTCAGTTGTCAGCTAAGCACCATTTCCACAGGGAAGCACTGTGGCCTTTGGGGTCCTTTGTTATAATATATGTGTTGTAGAAATACTTTCCTTTCCTTTTCTTCATAGACCTTACTTCTGGTTTTAAATACTCGGTCACCAAAATGATAATTTTATTAATGTCTACCTTCCTCACTAGACCATAAATCCCGTAAAAGCAGGGACCATTTTGCTTTGGCTATCACTGTTTCCCTAGTGGTGAACACATGGGAAGCACTAAGGGAGGGAAGGAGGGAGGGAGAGGGAGGAAAGGATACCAAGAGTCTATTTGACTTCGTACCTTTGTTGTCTCAAGGGCCTCAACCCTCAGAATTAAAATGGGAAAGAACAACATCAAACCAAGTTTCACAATGTGATTACAGACCATTTCCCACCACAGTTTTGTAACCTGTTCAGCAAATGGCTGAAGAGTAAATGATTCAAAATTGTATGCTGTGCCTGTTCTCTTTGCTCCATTTTAGCAAAACACAGGTAATTCTTACCATTTTCAACAACATCGGATCAATGCATCTGCACATTTTCCAGTGAGTAACTGACATATTTTCTCAAGAGTAAAAGGAATTAATTACAAATTAATCATAATCTTTAAAAAAAAGTTGAACAGCTTATCTTGTGAAGGGGCCTTGTGAGTGAAATATGAGAACAGAAACAGGATGTGGCTGGTGCAGCAGCTCAGGTCATTGTGCTGCAGGTGGGTTAAGGTTCTCAAGAGCTGAGGAGCCTGCCATAAGCACACAGACCAACTCAGAGGGCCACCGGGGAGAGAGAACCGGCCCGGCTCTCACATAGCCCCCAGCCTCTAGGCTTTCTTTGTCCATTTGTGCAACAAGGTGCGAATACTACATCATCTCTTTTCTAATCTGATTTTATATTTAAAGAGCTCTAAAGCATTATGTTTTTTTCTTATCTTTAAGGTTCCCATTTAGTTTTAGCAGATACTGAGTGGGGCAAAGTAGGTTTATAGTTGTCCATATAGAAAATAATACAATAATTAATAAATAATGCAAGAATAAATGGTTCACATACTCACATATACCTACTTTTACTCCACCCTGTATACTAATTGCTATCTATCTAATCACACAGTCCTGACAAGCAGATATTTTTTCCTCTGGCTGAATTGAGAGAGATGAGACAAAAGAAGAAATCAGAGATTTCAAGCATGAGAAGGATTTAATGCCATCTTGCTGGTTTTGAGATGCAGGGAAATAGCATTAAAGGACTGGAGAGGAGACCAAGATGGCAATCACCTTGTTTAATTAAAAATAAAAATTATTTGGAATAAAAATGGTAAGATACATATGTCTTCTATACTGGCAATTCCTGTCATCTGAAAATATTGTAACTTTCCTTTTCTGAGATACTTTAAAGAAGAAAAAAAGGCTAGTCAGTGGCATACTTCCTGCATGCTTCTGCTAAAGAGTGATAAGTACCTAAGTTCTTTATAAAGATGGTGCACACTTCTCATGCATTTGTATTTATTAGCATAATGATCTCTTGGGATATCACTTAACTCCATAGTAAGAGTGAAGAGGGGCATAAATGCAACTTTTAAGGATACATTTAAAAGCCTGCTATCCTGCTTATCTCTTCCTTCTCATGACTAGAAAAGAGCTTAACTGGAGCAGGTGCCATCACAAGTTAAGCCTCAAGAATACTTTAATGAAGGATTTCTTATACCACATCAATATGCAGATGGTTCCCGTGGACTCAGTCACCTCTCCTGAAGTATCTGAGTGAAGGACAACTTACTGCCTAGCGCCATTACAGCCTGAGGCCTGAGGGCACATGGGCAGAGCCTGCCATCATCCAACAATTCTCCTCTAGCCAATCAGCTTTAAAAACCTACCCCTGTCGTTTTCCTTAAGTATGTCCTGTACATTCCACTTTTGGTGCGACAGCTCCAAATACTGGCTTTGTATCTCTTGTCTAAAATCCTGCTCTACCATCCTTAGCCATAATCCACCTGACACACCACTGCCAGCAGTTCTCCTTAATACCCAGACCCCATCTTACACTGTCTTTGCTTTCTCAGCTTCAGTGGTTTGTCACTGCCCACAGAAGAGGATTTCATAGTATTTGGGGTCTCCGCCTTTTCTGGTTTCAATAGCTAAAGAAAAACACTAGAAAGAGCAGGAAAACGTGGTATTTTGCTCCTGGGAAAAACAGCTTATATGAATGAACAACTAAGAGTTAAAATTATACAAAATGCACGCCGAAGCCGGTTTAGCTCAGTGGTAGAGCATCGATCTGTGGACTGAAAGGTCCCGGGTTCGATTCCGGTCAAGGGCATGTACGTTGGCTGCGGGCACATCCCCAGGTAGGGGATGTGCAGGAGGCGGCTGGTCGATGTTTCTCTTTCATCGACGTTTCTGGCTCTCTATCTCCCTCCCTTCCTCTCTGTAAAAATTCAATTAAAAATATATTTAAAAAAAAATAAAATAAAATAAAATTATACAAAATGCACATATTGTGGAAACATTTCTCAAAATGAATCTATTAAACACTAGTATTCCTCAAGATGTTAGTGGTATTCCATGAAAAAAGTCCAACTATAAAATAAATTTGGGATAGTGGGTTTTAAAAAAGAAAAAGTTAAATAGATTTATTTAGAATTTCTCAAAGCCTAAAATATGCTAAGTTCAGAGTAAATCTTGAAGATTTACTTATTTTCAGGGTTTTTGTTTGTTTGTTTGTTTTTGTGTGTGTGTGTGTTTTTTTGTTTGTTTGTTTTTGTGTGTGTGTGTGTGTGTGTGTGTATTTTTTAATGACAGAGCCCTTAAGGGAGAACACATGAACATTCTATGAAACACCCCATATGAGGAGCATCTGGGAAGAACAGAAAGTGGCAACAGAGTCCAGATTAGAGACCCACATATCTGTGATTATCACAGGCTGGGAGGGTAGGAGGGGGAGAGAAGGGGTTAAGGCACATTATTTGATTTACTGCGATCACTGGCTTCTGTTGTCTTAAAGGAGAATAACAAACCACGCATCCCAATGTTGACAGCAGTGTACAGAAGCTCAGTGGGCCGTTGTTTATAGAGCCTGTCAGTAATGAAGAGGTGAACTGCTCAGTGTGGCTGGGCCTTCTCATATCCATCTAATACATAGTTATTTAATGTATGAATTATACCCATCACCCGATTGTAGCCCAGCCAGTTTCTTCAATTGTAAGGCAGGAGGATTAGAAGCCATCACCACTAAGATTCCACATAAAGTTTATGGTTTTATTTTTAATTATTTCACTGTTCTCCTTCATGGACTATATTTACTTCAACAAAACTGGACTCTGCTCTTGTGCTAAAATGCCCTGAACATCCTGGCCCTCATGTTTTTTTGCTCATGAAATCCTACAACCCAAATTTCTTTTTCTGCTCACAAAATGCCATTTCCCAAAGCCCAGTTCAGAAGCCACTTCTTCCCTGAGCTCTGATCTCCTTTTCTTTTATCACAGAACTATCTTAAAGAATATACGGACACAGCCAAAAATACTTTTTAAAAAAGCCTATTTATGTGTGTTTAAATTCTTTTAAATGTTTAGGAAAACAGGAACTTGAATAATACAAAAACCTAACACATGTATAGAGATCCTCCATCACCACAATTCAAAGTATCTGAGGCAGGCGTCACAGTTTCCAAAGCATTCCCCCTTTTCTAATCCTCACAATGGCCTTATGAAGTAATAAAGATATCGTTTTATTTGAAGCTAAAGAAACAGGCCCACAGAACTAAGTAATTTTTGAATAAAGTTTCAAGCTAGTAAAGGTAGAATAAAAACTAGAATTTAAGTCTTTAGGGTTTTCAATAAGTGCTACTTCCAATTCTCCACTTTGAAAATTAGTGTAAAAGACACTTATAAACCTAGGACTTTGTATTTTTTTTTCTAAATCATGCTCCAATTGCCATACAATTACCTACATATTGTAAATATTCTTAGGTTTATGTCTTGACTATGTAAGAAGAGTAAATATTTCAAGGATAAGTAAATTCAGGTCATCCTTTATTGTGGAAGTCGTTTATTAAAAGAAAACAAGGAGGATGGGAAACAACGGGAAGGAAAAAAAACACTAGAAAAGACCACAGTATTATCTTATTAACAATATTCAGCAAATATTCAGAAGATCCTGGAGCTCCCAGAGAAACAGCTGGGTTTGTGAGGTATTTCATTTTATTAAGCCTATAATGATCTATACCATATTTACTTCATATTTACTCTGACACAGTCCTGAAATTATGAGAAATCGCTTTTGATAAGTACAGACATTATGTTAGGTTATCATCCAATTCACTCTTCTTCTAAAAAGTTTATTTAGAATTTCCCACTGCTTTCAGATTTCTTAGGGGAAATGGGCATACATCCATTTAAATTATCTTATCTCAGAGGCCTGTGCTAGGGCACTTTTTCCAGTGAAACAATTTTCACTTTGCTATCCTTGCTGCCTCATTGTACCTCTAAGTTCAGCCTAACTCAAACTTTTCTATTGCCTGCCCTGAGGACCACTGATGATACAGCTATCAGCAAATGTTAATGTCAATAAACACAAACAAAGAGAAGCTTGTAAACAATGGAAAGTCACTATGGACATGAGCATATTAAAGGCAGTAAAGAAACGTGTTTATTTTTGCATAATCTATCCACTGAATTTATTTAAATCTTTAATTACCAAATTGGCTACACTGAAACCCAATATATAGATAACATAATATAAACATAAAACCCATATATTGATACATACATGATGTCACATTGATCTTAGCAAACTATTTCTTTGAGGGGAGGGGTAGTAACATTATTTACATTTAAAAAATTATTGATTAACTTTTGTTTCTTTGACGAAGCTTCCTTGTCAATTAAAAATTCCACCCAAAGGAAATATTGCCAAGACTGACTATACATGTATGAATATTTAAATGTAGAGTTAGTATCAATTTAATACCTTTTATCTTTAAATGCTAATTTCTCCAATTGACTTCTCCAAATTATATCATCTTCTGTTTTATTGAAGAACATCAGCTTCACCTTCCTTAAAAAAAAAAAAAAAACGCAACAACTCAGAACTTTTTCAATTACATTTAAAATATGCATGAATTGATCTAAAAGTAAACTAGCAAAAATTTTTTTTAGTGCAATTAGGTAATTAAAAGCATCAAAATAAAAAAATTGTGTTTAGCCAAAACCAGTATGGCTCAGTGGATAGAGCGTCAGCCTGCAGACTGAAAGGTCCCAGGTTTGATTCCAGTCAAGGGCATGTACCTTGGTTGTGGACACAATCCCAATGGGGGGTGTGCAAGAGGCAGCTGATTGATGTTTCTCTCTCATCGATGTTTCTAACTCTCTATTCCTCTTTGTAAAAAATAAAAAAATTTTTTTTTTAAAAATATATATATATATTTTTATATATATATTTTATATATATATATATATATATATATATATATATATAAAAGAATTGTGTTTATCATATAGCTAGGACTTGAGAAGCAGAGTTAAGAAATGAATGAGAGAATGAGAACATATCTATTAAGGTGCAGTGAGGAATTAAACAACTTAGAATACTTTGTACTAATCTAACAACCTCATAAAGGATAGTAATTAAAGATAAAATTACATACCTGAGACTGGATATATTGGTCAAAGCATAATTCAGTATTTTAACCATTGGTGTGAAGCCTGTTCCAGCTGCCAATAAAAAGAGATCTTCTAATTCTTGGAACTGGGCTATTTTAAAATTGCCCTCAGGATTGCTTACGGAAACAAAATCTCCTAAACAATAAAATATAAATGAAATCAGGAAGAAAAAAAAAAAATCAGGGAAACTGAGAAGGCTACACCTAGCTGAATTTAGAACACTGGTGAGTCACAGGATGAATGTTTAGCTTTCAGACCCCATCTTTTTTTATTTAGGACAGTACATGAAACGTTTTAAGAATATTCATTAGGCCCTCAAGTATGCTTGGATACTATCACTATAATCAAATTATTAAGGTTTTATTTCGCTCATTCAATTACACAATTAATTTCCCAAACCATCTGGAGTCACTGATTTCCAAACTACTGCCAAGTATTTAAGTACAAATTACCAATAAAAACAGGCTCTCCATAGAATGCTAAATTAAATTATAAGCACCTAAAAAGCATAGTCCATGTCTCCCTGTCTTGCACAGTACAGGGTAGAGAAAATGTATTTTCTACTTACATACTGATTCTTTTTTTGTTTTTAATCCTCACCAGAGGACATGTTTATCTTTATTGATTTCAGAGAGAGAGAAAGGAAGAGAATTATCGATGTGAGACAGAAACATCAATTGGTTGCCTCTTGTAATTGCCCCAACTGGGATCAAACCTAAGTATGTGCTCTGACCAGGAACTGAACCCGCAATCTTTCTGATGTACAAAATGATGCTCCAACCAACTGAGATACCTGGCCGGGCCATATATTGAGTCTTAACCATAGTAATAAGACTAGCAGGAGAGAAAATTGAAGTAAAAATATATTGCAAAATCTTATGTTAGTAAATGTGCGGACTTCACTTCCATCAAATCTTTTAAAAGACCAATTGATTAAAGAAAGAAGAGTTTGTTCTTAATTCACTTCTATAAAAACAAAGCAAGTTCAGAAACTACTTGGAGCACGCTACTTCACAATATAGAATCAAAATAGCTGAGAAAAACTATTTTCTGAAATGCAGTTGAAATAATCACTACTAGTAAGTACCACACATATTACAGAACTGCCTTTAGCACATTTCAGAAATTTTCATTGGAATTTGAAAAATAAAAAATAAAGCTGTCCATATTTAAAAAAAAAACAATTTGAATTTTTAAATGCTGGATCTTCCTATTTTTTCCTTTATTTTTCATAGCAGGATAGTAAGAATCTTGCAGTAATTGATTAAGTAAGTGTTACAAGTAACAGAGCTCCTTGTTATAGTTTGAAAGGGACTGTAAGATCAGAATATCCCCAGGATATTACTAAAAAAGCTTCACAGAACAATACTAACTTGATAATTTTTGTCCATAGTCCAGTACTTCCAACATCATTTCACTGATTGGACTTGGGCAATGTACCTCTTGCTAATCAAGTTCACATTCCAGAAAGGTCATTGACCTCCAGCCAGGCTATCTGCATCTACTCACCCGAAAATTACACACCCCCTCTAGGGCATCTCGTTCAGGTGACATTTGACAGGCCAAAACAATCACATAAAAGTTGCTTGGTGACCAAAGGATTGAACAAAGTGGATAACATTATAGTGCAGTTTGTCTGAGACATAATGAGGCTGCAGTTTCACTACCATCCCAGCATACATGCCTCTAAGTGAAACAAGTGTGCGTGCCATGTCTAGCCCTGTGGATAGAGGTGAAAACACACTGATCTTGAGCTGCAGGCTTTCCTTTTCCATGTTCTAGGCTCACTCTCCACCTTGCTCTGCTCAAACTCTAAAAACAGGCTACAATACCGCTGGTTGTTTCCACTTGCTGTATTAAAATCACGTGTCAATCCTTCACAAAATAGATAGCATCACTAGATTTGTGGGTATTCCAAAATTCTTTATGTTCACATTTATAGTCAATATTTTGATTTATGTAACCCAAGATGACGCATCACATCACTGCATAAATATTTCTAAGCTTAACTTTCAGGAAACAATGTAATTTTTATATTTCCAAATTTTAGTGATCTACCTCACCGTTGCTGCACTGTACTGTTAATACTGCCTTAAAAAGGGGAAGAACACTTTTACCGTTGGGCTCAGGCAGTGAAAAACTGAAAGCATAAAAAAGGGAGTAAGAGCAGAAAGAAAATTCTCTAAACCTTAATCAATTTCATTATAGTCTTTTTAGTCATTCTTTTAAAGTATATTTATTGGGAGCCTTTTATATGCCAAGTGCTATGCTAGGTGCAGGAAATACAAAGATAAATAAGACACTCTCCCTTTAAATTCAAAATCTTGTAAAAAAGAAATACTATTTATTCTTATTCTAGAGCTGTGAACAAGGTGTTAGGATTTGCAGGGGTTCTGAGGAGGGGAATGTTCATAGAAGTGATATTTCTGTTTGGTTCTTTAAAAAGGGCACTTTATAGATAGACATAGAATTGATGGGCATCCTAGGTGAGGCCACTCAGAGGAGAGGCAACTCTGAGTGAATATGCCAGGCTTGTGGAACTCTGAGTAGCACAGGATCTGAACACTGAGAGATAAAGCTAGAAAGATCATGAGAGTATTTGTAGGTCACGGAGGGGACTTAACCAGTTAGAGAATGGAGACTCAGCAGAGGCTTTAAAGCTGCAGAGAAACATGGTTAAATCTATTCTCAGGGTAGTTTGGGAAAAGAACTGGAAAATTCAGAAACAGAAAGAAAAAGACCCCAGTTAGAGGCAACTAAGAGAGACCAGTTAGAGGCCAAGAGAGAAATGCTGAAGGCTTGACCTAAGAAGGTGGTTGAAGGGACAGAAAAGATTGGAAAGTCATGGGGAGGTAGACTCAACAGAATACAGTACCTGACTAGATTGGGAGGAAGAAAATGGGAAGACTCAGAGATGGCTTAAATCTCCAGGTTGGGTCAAGAATGGACAGTGAGTGATGCTGCAAATAATAGAGATGAGTATGGAGTAATGATAGGCTGGGTGGGACAAAGAGAACATGATTTTGGTTGCAGACATGTTGCGTTTAAGATATTTGATAGACTCCCAGCTGGAGATAACTAGAGGGCTGTGTAACATGTGATCCAACCTAGAACACAAATGAGGTAAACAAACAAACAAACAAAAAAAACCCCAAACATAAAATACTAACCAATCTGAAGATGATCAAGCTCTGGTGTAAAGAGTCCAGCAGGATAGATTTTGATCAGAAAGTAGATGTATTTATTATTGGGAATAACTGGTTCCTTAAACTCTGAGAGTAAGGAATCAGATACAGGTGTATATGGCTTCACTATTTCAGTACCTAGAAAAAGTCATGACAAAGAAATTCAATTCTAAAAATCTAAAAAGCTCTGAATGAAGATAAAACACACAAATTTTATGATGCAATTAATCAGTCTATATTAAAAACTGTAAACCTAATGTTTCTATAATTCTATGGTCTATGTGTGTATAGTACAGATAGTTATATACCCCGAGTTAATGTGAGCTGAAATAATTTTAACAAATCAATATTTTATCTATAATATAAACAATATGTTTTTATTAAGTATGACATACAATTGGGATTTATGTTAAAAAATTCTCAATCATCTCTTCTATCAATATATAAACTTTGTAATAAGCCACAACAAAAATGGCATAAAAAGTTTACACAGAGATTTAAGTAGGTACTGACATAATTTTAATTATATATAAGTTTTTCACAATGGTTACTGATCATTTATTTGGGATTGAGAAAGGGAAGAATTTCACATTTTACTTTATACATTTTAAATGGTTTTAATGTTTTAGTATATACTGCTTTGGTAACTGGATAAAAAGAATATTAATCCAACTACTTTTGAGAATAGTTTTTAAAATATATATATATGTATATATTTTATTGATTTTTTTTTTTTTTACAGAGAGGAAGGGAGAGGGATAGAGAAAAACATCAATGACAGGGAAACATCGATTAGCTGCCTCCTGCACACCCCCTATTGGGGATGTGCCTGAAACCAAGGTACATGTCCTTGACTGGAATCGAATCTGGGACCCTTCAGGCTGCAGGCCGATGCCCTATCCACTGAGCCAAACCAGTTAGGGCAAGAAGTTTTTTAAAAGCGTAATGTTAATATTTCATGTTATAATAAAAGCATAATATGCTAATTAGACTGGACGACTTTCCAGACGAAGTCCAGGTCCCAGGTGTCTTTCAGCGGCCGGGGGGAAGCCCAGGTCCCGGGTGCCAGAGGGAAGCTGGTGCTGGCAGCCGGGGGAAGGAAGGCCTACTGTTGTACAAATTTTGTGCATGTGGCCTCTAGTTTCATGTTATATTTTTAGCAGGCCAAATTCCAAAGAGAGGGGAATCATCACAAATTTGCAAGAGCACAATACTACACATGGCTGCCTGACATATACAAAATGAATGTATTTGTAAATTATACTGCACCGGGGAAGATACCAGTTATTGAATGACGACGTGGCATTAGATGATGAAGAGTGAGACTTTATAGTGCCAGCGTAACCAACCACCTCCTCCAGAGCCCGACTGGGAGTCTGTTAGATTGATGGCTGGAAACACCTTGGCTGACATGAGAATGTTACATTTTGCAGCTTCAAAAAGCCAAGAAAATGTTACACATCAGTAAGAAAGGTATTTAAAACAAATAAAGGAGGTAATTTTAGGATGAAAAGGAGAGAAAAAGACTTCACACAGTAAGGAATTTACAGCTCTTCTTATACTGGTGGCACAGATAAGGAAATGATTTATCATCATTCGACTTTGTAAATGACAAGAATGCAAGTGGCTTCTAAAAGATGCTGGTATGTTTTCAGGAGTTGTCTTACGAGAGGCATTTGTGCACTCCTGCACCTCTTTCCTCTAAGGCTGTGTTAGTAATAAATGACAGACCCATGTCTGTGACTAGTGGCAGTTTCTTTGTTCCATGCAATACTATGGCATGGCTGTGGTTCCAACACACAGGAGCACTGCATCCCCAAACCAAGAATCTGGCCATCCCTGGATCCAGCTGCTCCCAAACACTTAATGATAATCTAAATAGGTGCTTTGTAAAGAGATTGAACTGTTTTTGAACAGCTTATAGAAGAAGAAACTGTTCCTCCAAAGGCTCTACTTGCCTTACCTGTAATAGTTAGCTTGAGGTAAACATGTTGCCCAATTGGCACCTGAAGATGAGTGCTTGGTGGCAGCATCAAGCAGAAAAGCTTCGTATCATAAGTGGCATCTTCCTTGGAAATTAACTGGCACTTTCTGTAGTATAAACCTAAAAAGTGATTCATTTTCTCTTATTGATGAATAAGTTAAGTAAGAATAATACTAGATCCATTAAGTAACTCAGTTTTTGCTCTTTGAACTTGAAATTCACTAAAAGATCTATAAGTTTTTAAAATTTATCAGTACTTTGAAAATTGTGTAGTGTTAATTTTTCCATTTTATTTCCTGAGATATCTATTTTTCGAAACCTGTGAATACTTCTATAATTTGAAAATAAACTTTATAAAATAAATGAGTATTATATTCCTCATGTCTATTAGAGCATGTTAAAATTACATTCTAAGTAATTAAAACCTAATTTATTTCTTCTTAAATTCACTTTATAATTCCATTTTAAAGCCTTATATTAACTAGTTATATAAATTGTAGATGTGAAAAATATTTGACAAGCAACAAATTTACATTGTAAATTTTCTTATAGAAAAGTTCTGAGACTCAACTATTGAAACTTTAACAATATTAGTACTACTAAATAGCTTTAGAAATATTTATTTGATAAAGACCGGAAAAATATACACTCCTGTATCTCTATGTTAGTACTATATTACACACACACACACACACACACACACATACACACAGGGAGCTTAGTGCATGAATTTGTGCACTGTGAAAGGAACTGTGGGCAGAGAGGCTGTGGTGGGCGCAGGGGCGGGTCTCAGCCCATCCTCTATGACCCATCCAGCCCCAGTCCCATCTGCCAGTAGCCCTGCTCCCACTATCACTGTCACTCCCATGGCCTGATGGCGCCAGCCCCGCTTACACCCACTGATGGCACAGAGTGACTAGGGTTGGCACCAGCAGCTGGTGCGAGCAGAGCTGGTGTCATCAGCGGGTGCAAGCGAGGCTGTCGCTGGCAGCGAGTGTAAGAGGCAGCTGCCAGCCCTGATTGCTCCTCAGGAGCAGGGGGAGGTGGAGAAGCCCTGTAGGATGATCTGAGCCAGCAGCCACAACTCGTACCCACTGATGATGCTGAGTGATTTGAGCTGGCGCCAGGCGCCAGCAGTGGGTATGAGCGATGGCTCTAGCACCGGTAGCAGGTGCGAGCAGGGCCCATGCCAGCAGCAGGTGCAAGCGCCTGGTGGGACAGTGGTGCACAGCAGCAAAGAATTTTCAGTAACCACCAGAGGCTAGCCTCAATGACAGCCACTGGTGCCCCGCTTTGGTCTGGCACCCTTGTTCACCTGATCCACCATCCCACTGCAACCGATGCCTGCCATGCTCCTCGCGTGTGCACCCTGGTTGTTAGCGTATGTCATAACAACCAGTTGTTCGGTTGTTCAGTTATTCTGCCGTTTGTTTTATTTGACTATATTAATTATAACATGTTTCCTACAAAAGGCTGCTCTCATTTCAAAAGAATATCTTAGCTATCGATTCTAAAAGTTTTAAGAAAAATTTAAGAAAGTTTTTCTATTTCAATTGGACAAAGGACAGAGAAAGCTATAGCTGACACAATAAGAGGAAAAAGGAGTAGACATCAGATGTGCTGGCTACTGTAGTCTGGACAATGCCATTATTTAAGTTTAAGTGTCAGGTTTTTGGCTCTGTAAGCATAGACAATTACACAAGAAAATGTCAAAGTAATTCTAAATTTGACAGGAGAAGACACTGCATTAAAGTATTTAACTTATTTAACTTACATGTATGCTTATTTTCAAAGTAAAATTCTTTTAACTAAGAAATTTCAGTTGGAGGAAGCCAGTATACTAATCAATAATTTGTTATTTATTCCGAAAACCTAAGAACCACGTTATGGAGTAAACATTTAAAGATACTGACATTATGCCAAAACCAGTTTGGCTCAGTGGTAGAGCATCAGTCTGCGGACTGAAAGGTCCCAGGTTCGATTCCAGTCAAGGGCATGTACATTGGTTGTGGGCACATCCCCAATAGAGGGTGTGCAAGAGGCAGCTGGTCAATGTTTCTCTCTCATTGACGTTTCTAGGTCTCTATCCCTCTCTCCTCCTCTGTAAAAAATCAATAAAATAAATTTTTTTAAAAAAGATACTGACATCAAGTGAATCATGACACTTTGATGATATAAATATTCAGCTTTACTACAGTGAATAAAATAATCTACAGCCTGGCCAGTGTGGTTCAGTGGTGTCAACCTATGAACCAGAAAGACACAATTATAGGGTTGTAGGATTCATCCAATCGATGATTCTCTCACCAATGATGTTTCTATCTCTCTCTCCTTCCCCTTCCTCCCTGAAATCAATAAAACTATTTATTAAAAAATATAAATTTAAGAATAACGAAGTGCCATAATTCAAAATGATTCATTTTTAAAAAATCTACAGCTTTTATTCTGGTTTAAGAAAAGAAAGAAAAAATAAGAAATTACTTTTGTTAATTTAGTCACATATATAGAAATATCCCTTAAACTTTGAGTCATTTAACAAAGTAGGAAACCTAATTTACTAAAATGCATGCCTGGCTCCAATTTCAGACAAGAAAGCTAAAGCTACCTATGGTGGTTCATACCTCAAGGAGAAATGTATGGCTGGGATAAAGAGTTCATCATTAGTATACTGGGATAAAGCCTTGGGAAATTACTGAGAAAAGTAACTGAGCAATATTCATTCTATTTCCAAATGAAGATCGGCCTTGGTTCTCAATATCATTTATTTCTTGAACTTGACTTTTATAACAGCAAGAGATTTCATTTTCATAATATCTATTTATTTTATTGTCTTTTACCTAATCTCTTCAGGTCTGTTAGATCATACTGTTATTCCTTGACATTCTCTCTCCCTACCTAATACCGCAAAATTCAAAACTCCTGCTCTGGTAAAATGAATCTATTTAACCATTCCCACACATGGCTTACTTTTCCCCCTCCACAACCTGCAAAATACCTAGCACAGTAAGTACCAGTAACAACAATTTGAAGCTCTACCTGGAAATACTTTTATAGTTTTTGTAATTTTTTTGAAAGCTACTTTCAAAACATTGCTTGAAATCCACCTTCTTCAGTGAGTCATTCAAGGTCAAATTCATCTGCATCTGTTCCCTTGAGATTACCTCAGAATATGCTCTATTTGTATTATATAGTGTGCCCTTATCAGCTTGTTTCATTATAAGAGTATTTTTTTAAATATATTTTTATTGATTTTTTACAGAGAGGAAGGGAGAGAGATAGTTAGAAACGTCGATGAGAGAGAAACACTGACCAGCTGCCTCTTGCACATCCCCCACCGGGGATGTGCCCACAACGAACGTATAAGAGTATTCTTTTAAAAAATTTTAGAGAGATGGAGACATCAATTTGTAGTTCCACTTATTTATGCATTCATTGGCTGATTCTTGTATGTGCCCTGACTGGGGATCAAGTCCACAAGCTTGGCATATCAAGATAATGTTTTAGTCAACTGAGCCACCCGGCAGGGCAAAAAGTATTCTTCAATATCATATTTTGTGTACAGTTTTTCCTCAACCTGGGAAATAATTTCTGATGCCTTTGATTTGTTTCATAACACAGTACCTAAAAGAGCCTTCAACACATAATAAGTTCTGAAAATATGGCTATCTGATACTTTTCTGAAAATTAAAATATTATCCACAATCATCTATAATAATAAAAGCATAATATACTAATTAGACTGAATGACATTCCAGACAAAGCCAGGGCTGCGAGGGAACTCAAGGGAAGTGCTGGCAGCCTGGGAAAGGAAGGCCTACTCTTGCATGAATTTCGTGCATCGGGCCTCTAGTATTTATATAATTTTAAATATTTAAAGATGGTAAACTGAATCATGCAGTTAGTTCCTTCTAACTCTCCCACACCCCACATAAAAACAAAGATTTTGTGTGTGTGTGTGTTTGGTTGTTTTTTAAGGCATAAACCTGCAAGGATAGAAGAATGAAAATTTTAAATAGCAACAAAATTTTGCGAGCTGAGAAGCCAAAGGGATGATTGATAACTGACAGGCTCAATAAAGTAAATCCTAAACTAGAGAAATACAGAACGTCAAGAATCAACAACACATTTGCAATACAAGACCCCTTTAAGGCTCAGACATTGGCAGAACCAAATACCTCTGGGTCAGAGGGAAGGCAAAGCTAGAACCACTTTCCGGATACAAAGTTCATTTAAGAAGCTTAGATGCCCTCCCACTCTCAACTTTACTGAAGTCCTCCCCTATTTAGCACAGTCACATAACTGAACCTCTCTTATTCTGGCAAAACATTGGAAGCTTGCTCTCCAGAGGGTAGAACATAGGACCTCTGAATTTGGGTTTATGTTATAGGCCAAACTGTGTCCCCTTCAATTCTCATACGCTAAAGTCATAACCCCAGTTCCTCAGAATGTGACTGTATTTAGACACAGGAAAAGAAAATTACTTACGTCTACAGGCACCTAGCATTTTCCCCCCATATGACTTCTGAATTGTCCCTCTGGAGACTCTGACAAAATAATGGCATCAGACTTCCCAAAGAAATGATCAGCCATACACTGAAAATGTTAATGTCAACAAATCATACCTATATGCACAGTTTCCAATCAGCTTTTAGAGTTCCACTTTGAAATATGAGCAGATAGTCAAGGATAAATAGACCTTCAAAGAAAGCATCTAATATTAAAAACAAAACAAAACAAAAAAATCCACAAGTTTTTCTCTAAGTGTGGCTCAATTGGTTGAGCATCATCCTATGCACAGAAGGGTTGCTGGTTCAATTCTAGGTCATGGCACATACCCAAGCTGCAGGTTCCATCCTCCTAACCTAGTGCATATGGGAGGCTACTGGCGTGTCTGTCTCTCTCTCTCTCCCTCTCCCTCTCTCTCTTCCCCTTATTCTCTCTCAAATCAATAAAACAAAAAAACAAAAAACAAAGAAACTTTGAGGACACAGAAATTTCACAGAGAAGAAAAAACACTATGGTAATTTTTAAAAACATAAGAGAAGCTAATTAGAATAGGATACTAAAACAAAGAAACAAAAATCAAGAGATCTTAGCAGTTAAAATATGAGAATAGAAATAAATAATTCAATAAAAGAGCTGGAAGTCAGCTAAATTAAAATCTTCCACAAAGCAGAACAAAAGGACTAAACTGAAAATAAGAGAGAAAAGATAAGACAATTAAAGGACTGGTTAAGGAGGTTTAAAAAAATTTCTAGAAAGACAAAACAGATCATGTAGAATAAAAGTAAGGACCATTAAGTTTCCATAGCGAAGATTAGCACAAAAGGATGGATAACCTGCCCAAAGAATGAAGAGAGACTCATACTAAGGCATATCTAATTGTGAAACTTCTAAACATTTGGAAGAAGGAGCCATTCCTACAAATTTTCAGAGAGAAAATATAGTGTGTTGACTCTGAAAATTCAGTAAGTAGAACATAAATATGAACACTTTTCTATAAATATGTTATACTAAGATAAAATGCTTAAATATAAAGGAAGCGAATGAAAAAATGAGATGAAGAAAGGAAATGAATTACATCCTTTAGGAGTAAACTGAGAAACTGGTTTAGGTAAGCAGAAAAACAATAAACATGCCTTTTTTAATAGAAGAAAAAAAAAAGATGAGCATAGAAGGCATTAATTTAAACTTGTTTTGGCACCTTTTATGAAAATAAAACTGAAGAAGTGAATGGTTGGGCAGCATTCTAAACATAAGTGGCTTCTCCATTCAGGTATCATTACCTAATGACTTCATGTTATGCCTAAACATTAGATAGTAGAATCTGAAATTTAATCTGTTAAAAAAAAAAAGTGCCCCATTTCAACTTTTTTTTTCCTTTTTATTGAATTTATTGGGGTGACAATGGTTAACAAAATTATAAGGGTTTCAGGTACACGTCATCTGTACACCGCATTGTGTGTTTACCACCCCAAGTCAAGTCTCCACCCATCACCATTATCCCCCCATAACTTCCTACAGCGCTCCCCCTCACTCTCCCAGCAATCACCTCACTGTTGTCCATATCCACGAGTTTTTCCTTTTTTGTTCAATCCTTCCACACACACCCCTCCCCTATTTCAAATAGAAGGAGATACAAGCGAAAGCTCATCCCAAAGTGGCCTTTCACGCCTGAAACAAATGTGCCAATCAACAATTTCTTAAACACAGGACTCAAAATAGCAGCACAGCATACCTGTATCTTTCTTTGGAATAAGTGAATTATGATTCTCCAGGGGATGACCAAGACACTCCCAAGAAGTATTCTCCTTTTTCTTTAGGACAATCTCTATCTTTCCCACATTTGCAACAACCCGCACTGAAAAGAATATAAATTTCATTTATGTTCATTAATACTAAATATAAAATTTTACTTTAAAATCAATCTTTCTCAAACAATCCAATTGTCCCAATCTGTATGAATGACACTGATAATTAGTAAAATAAATACGATTTTGTGCACATATTCATAAAAATTTTTATACCTTATATGATGTTAGATGCTCAACCACTGAGCACCACTGGCCAGCCAGGTTTAATTTATTTTAAATTTAGATTAACTTTTTTCAAATTAATTCATCAAGGACAAAACTAATATGTATTGCTAATTTTCATACAAGCTCAAATATAGCCATGGCAACTACTTAACATATATAAAAAAAGGAGAGGGCTGATATATACAAATCAGCCATTGAATGGACCACTCTATAACTAGTCTTTTGTTGTTAAATAGCTGTGTAAAATCCACATTGTATATTTATATGCAGCAATATTTACAATTTAATATACTTTATCAACATTAAACATTCAAAAAAGAAAAATTTATCTAGTCTAGAACATTTCTACAATTTGAATGTCAGGAATAGGACAGAGATAATGAAAAGGAGGGAGGGAGGGAGGAAAAATAAAAGGCAGACAATTCCTAAGGAGAAGAAAAGGGAAGAGTAAAGTGACAGAAGGAACAAGGGGAAAGAAAAAAGGGAGGTAGGGCCTGAAATCAGAGGGAGAATATGTTTAAAAATTAATGTATTTGTTTATCTAAAAAATATCACATCTTTATTTTGACACAGGAATATAAATATGAAAAATAAAACAAATGATAATTTCCCCTCCTTTATATGTATGCATATACTTGCATGTGTGTATAAGTATGTATATACATAATTATTTTTTAGTAAAGCATACCAGAAAAATCTTCTTGAATCGCATGGCTTAGCTCTGAAAAAGAAAATTTATATATTTAGTTAAAACCCAGTAATGTACTTCTAGAAATATATCCCAAGAAATAAGAAACCCCAATCAGAAAGGATATATGCACCCCTATGTTCATAGAAGCACATTTTACAATAGCTAAGATTTGAAAACAACCTAAGGGCCCATCAGCAGATGAATGGATTAAAAAACTGTGGTACATCTACACAATGGAATACTATGCTGCTGTAATAAAGGAACCCTTACCATTTGCAATAGCATAGATGGACCTAGAGAGCATTATGCTAAATGAAATAAGCCAATCGGAGAAAGATAAATATCACATGATCTCACTCATTTGTGGAATATAGTGAACATAAACTGATGAACAAAAATAGATCCAGAGACAAAGAAGCATCAAACTATCAACCCTCAGAGGGAAGGCAGGGGAGGGGGCGGGGCTAAGAGATCAACCAAAGGACTTGTATGCATGCATATAAGTATTACCAATGGACACAGACAGTAGGGAGGTGAGGGCATGTGTTGGTGAGTGGGAGTGGCCAGGGAGAGGTGAATGGGGGGAAAATACAATATTGTAATAGCTATGTGTGGGCTAGGGGAATTACTTGAAATATTAGGGTGATCACTCTGTAAAGTATATGATTGTCTAACCACTATATTGTACACCTGAAACTAATACAGAATAATATTGAATATGAAAAAATAGAAAAAAAACCTTTAATTCACACGGTTCATGAACATCATTTAAATGGTTCTTTTATGCTCTATTTCAAATCTCTCAAGATAAATAAAACAAATTCTGAGAGACCAATAGAAAGGAATTGTACACAACCAGAATGTAGAGTCAAATCATTTAAACATACTACATACATTTCTTCAATTTTGCTTAATTCTCTCCCTATTAATTAAAGAGTGAACGCTCAATTGCTCAGAGGTGGTAACCTAAACTACTCCAAGTGTGGGTCCCAGACTGATGACTCTACAAACCGAGAAGAGAGCCGGGGAGGGAGCAAGGCGTGCACGCATGCTCAGGGTGTACACATGCACATGTGAACATGAGCCAGACCAGGTTAGCTCAGCTTCTTCTTTCTCATTGTTCTCTAAAGCTGAATGTTCCAGTTACTGGAGAGAGTTTACTGAGCATCTGTGTGTGCCATGCACTTTCTAGGTGTCATGGGCACAGCCGTTGGTGAAACAGAAAAATCCCTGGAACTTACATTCCAGAAGGAAGAGATGCAAGAAATATTTTTTTGTAAACATTTGCTCTAGATTTCACTGTGATAATATGGTTATCTGAAACTTAAAATTTTACCTTATTTTAGTTTTCTGATCCAATATTACCAACTAAGAGTTTCATATTTTTGAATGTGGAATTTTTGTTTCTTTTTTAATAAATGTGCAGAGATATGCTAGCTACATGCAGTGTGAACACTATTAGCCATAATATTTGAAACATAATAGATGCTGACACAGAGGTTTCATTTAAAGAAAAATTATGACAGTGCTAATAAATAATGTGTACTTTTCTAGACATCTCAGTGTTTTCTAGACATCTCCCAGAAGAGGCAATTTACATTAGACTTTAGGCAGGATAGGACACATTTCTAGGAGAAAGATTTGATTTTGATTAATAAATGAAAGGAAATAAGAAAGAAAAAGACATTTATCAACTCTGACCAAATTCAGGACGACAGGCTCTTCACTAACAAAGCAACAAGCAGAATCCTGAGTCAGCTGAGATCTAGAGAACTTCAGTCTGTGTTTTACAAAAGTAAATGAAAGGTTCTTTACATAAGAATTCATGCTTAAACCGATTACCAAGATTATTTTCTTCTTGCTGTTGTTTTGTTTATTTCATGACTACCTTCTAATTAGAATATCATCTTCATAAAAGGAGAAAAGAGTGAAATCCTAGAGTCAAGTTCGTTATGGGTCAAAAATGGTGTCAGAATCTGGTATCTTTTATTCCAGATTTCAGTCCTGATTTTCTGTCTTTTGATAGATGTGTAATCTTTCAAACCAGACAGAAGTGAATGGTACAATTGGTCTCTGACCACGGAGGGATAAAATACAACCTTGCAGTCCATGCTGCTTCAGTGCAGCTTGACTTCCTTGAGACCAGAGGTTAAGAACCAGGCCGATGAAACTAGCACCCAGTGATGGATGTTCCTAGAAGCATGTGACAGATAGGCTCCAGAGATTAGTTTGTAGATGTCCAGAAGAGTCTTACAAAACTGAGCCAACAAATATTTCATATTATTATTTATTTTGATTACATCTAATTACTTAAATTTGGGAAAGGTGAAGTTATACTGCCAGTTGCTAGCAATTTCATTAATAGAAAGAAATGCCAGAAAAAAAAGTGATAAAAATGATAAACCCAAATGATAGCATATTAAATATTAAACCAAAATAATAGCAGATAGCCCTGGATGGGTGGCTAAGTTGGCTGGAACATCATCTTGTGCACCAAAAGGTTGCAGGCTCAATTCCCAGTCAGGGCACATATCTGGGTTTTGGGTTTGATCCCTGGTCTGGGCACATACTGGAGGCAACTGATTGAAGTTTCTCTTTCTTGTCAATATTTTGCTCTCCCCCCCCCCCTTTCCTTTCTCTCTCTCTAAAAAAAAAAAAAAAAAAAAAAAAAAAAAAAAAAAAAAAAAAAAAATCAATAAAAAGAACATACCCTTGGGTAAGGATTAAAAAATAATAGAAGGTAAATACTTAGTACCTAGACTTCAGACCAAGCATATGTAAAGGGCACTGGAATTGTTTCCACTAATAAAGCATAAAGTACTTACCAATATGTATAAGATATGAATAATCCTTGATGATAGTTTCTGCTCTAAAGGAATCATACTGATGATCAACTATTACTGAATCTAAATTGACATCCTTAAATAGAAAGCAAAAAGAGAAAGATTAAAAGATTTTTGCCAAACTTCTACAAGTATACTTTTAAAAATATATACATTTTTATTATTTCAGAGAGAAAGGGAGAGGGAGAGATAGAAACATCAATAATAATAATTGATCAGCTGCTTCCTGCATACCCCCTACAAGGATGGAGCCCGAAACCTGAGCATGTGCCCTCACCAGGAATCTAACTGGGGACCTCTTACCCTTCCCTTTTCTTCTCCTTAGGAAAAAAAAAATACTGAGAAACACAAGCAAGGCCAAAAGAATTTTTAAAAGATGTAATACCTACACTTGAACTTAGCCAAAAATAGAAACAGAGGCATAGGTACATGGAACAGACTGACAGTTGCCAGAGGGCAGGAGAATGGGGAACTAGATGAAAGAAAGTGAGAGGATTAAACAAAAAACATATGCATAGCACACAGACAGATAACAGTGTGGGGACAGCAAGAGGGAGAGAGGAGGGTGGGGCCTAGGCGAAGAGCTGGGGGATAAAGAGGCAAAGTGTATGCTTGGGGTGGTGGGTGCACCATGCAGTGTGCAGATGGCGTTTTATTGAATTGTGTGTGCACTTGAAGTCTGTAGTCACTCCAATTAATTCAATAAAAAACTTAAAAATGCAATACCTGACTATTTAGGCAGGGCTACTACGGATCTCTTTTCCCGTAGACTGTCAAATAAAATAAAATAAGAATGACAGCAACCAACACAATAGCCAATCAGTGTAAAAAATTATACCCATTTTTTTTAAATTGGCAAAAAAAAAACAGCATATTTTTTGGTGTACTGCAGAATTTTAGTAGTTAATGTGTGCAATGAAATGAAAAGGTTGAGAATTGTTGATTTATACCCTATACTGAACACATAACAACACATAGTCGTCGGTGCCTCACTGATATTACTAATGGCAGTAAACCCCAGCTTCCTTAGGCGCTTCCCTATTGGTTTTGGATGGTGTGTGCAATGAGACAATAACGAGGGGGAGTGGAAGGTGGGACAAGCTGTGCCTGTGGCACTCCTGGCTGTATCAGGCGGAGGCTGGTGGCTCTTATGGAATGGTCAAGTCCTGCTGTAGGAGTCTGAGGAACTCACGGGCTCAGATGTGGTTTTGCTACCACAGAAGTAGCATGGATTCTCAGAAACTCCTAGCTGCTAGAACTTGTCTTTAAATCCACATGGTTTCTCAAGTGTGGGGACCTTGTCAGTTGCTGGAGGATGTGTATGGAAATAATGTAAGTTGCCTGATTATTTGTCTGATTTCCCAACTGAACTATAAACCCAATAAAAGCCAAGTCTCTATGTATCTGGCATATTATTAGATCCCTGACATCTAAGAGAGCACTGCAAATAATGTAGGTGCTCAAGAGATGTTGAATGAGTTATGTCCTGAATTTTAATTTCAAGAGGGCATCTGAACCCCATTAGTGGTTTACCTATTCTAAGCCACAGCATAGTCTCTCCTGTCTCTCAAATCCTAATTTATGGTCAGGAAATTAGTTCTCATGGTGAAGTTAAGTGGGATTCTTACTTTGCCATCCTTGCTTAAAAAAAAAAATAATAGAAAAGCATATATAATGCTTCTAGTCTAGTTTTTTCTAAGAGGCTATAGTGTGGTTGTTAAGAGCATATGCAATGGAGCTAGCCAGCGAGGGTTCAAAATGCTAGATCTGCCACGTGCTATGTGACATTAGGTAAATAACCTAATCTCTCTTTGTTTCCTTATCTGTAAGCAGAAATGACAAAAGTATTTACCTCACAGAGATAAATGGTGAGGGGTAAATAAGTTAATATAAGAAAAGTACCTGGCACAAAATTAACACTTATCTTTTTTCGATTTTAAAGATATGTTTACCTTCTGTTTAGTATATATGACAATGGTGACTAAAGAGTCTGTTTGGAACCAGTCATAGCTGTAAAATATTTAAAAAAAAAAAAGAATTATTATATTAATAATCATGTGCATTAACACTAAAATAACTAAAAATCTATGGTGAGAAATATATTATCTAGGTAAACTTTTTTTCCTAAATAATCAGTGGTCTTACTATTATATAACTGGTAATTTTTTCCAAATTTAAAATACCTATACTTCCATGTTTCAACTTGGATTAAAAAAAGACACAAACAGGTATTTCTGACAAGACACTTTTTATAAAAGTTATACATCTCCTTACTAAAATCTTCTTTTATCAGAACAAACAAAACACAATATATTTTTTAAGGAACATAACAAAATCTACATGCTTATAATTACCTTTATTCCTCCCTGTCACAAATATTATTACTCAAGAAATTAATTCTTCAAGGTGGTTTATTGAGTAAGCAGTAAAACTTAAGGTAAAACTAAGTCTTCTGCTTTGTAAACAGATGTTAATCAAACTGTTAGTGTTTTGAACTTATTACCTACATACAGGCACCCATAAATAAATCCTAGAGGAAGTATCCTTAGGGCCTTAAAATATATAAAATAATGTAGAAGATTGCATATGAAATAATTTAACAACTATAGGAGGATGCTGCTACATAATATAGACCAATGATAGGGAGAAAGGCAGAAAGAGAAAAAAACTACAAAGAACATAAATAACCCTGAGGACATTTGAAATATATATAAATATATATATATGAATTGTTAAATTTATTAAGACTGTTGGTGTTAAATACATTTTGAAAGATTTCTATTAAAAATGTATAATAAATTAGATATACAAAGAACAGAATAGTTCAATAAATTATGGTACGATCATATAATGAAAATGCAGACAAAAATGCTTTTATAAAATATTTAATAATATAGGAAATTGGGCATAGAATATATCATAATATTAATATTTTCAAGAGTGAATAATATTGAAGTAGGCATTATATGAATCAAACTGGGAGGAATAAACCAAATATTAAGACCATATATCTAAGGTTGATGGTATTGACAATTGATTTTTATTATTTTCTTTTGTATTTCTCTGCATTTTCCAAGTTTTCTACCATAAATGTATATTTTATTATAAAAATATTTTTATAGTCTTATTAAAGTGTTGGTGTTTAACCCTTAAAAGATAGCATTTAAATTCCCGTAGTGGGGTCTTCCAGCCAGAGCTTTCTTGGGCATTTAAATTCAGCTCTGCAGGCATTTACTTTTTTGCCTCTATCTTATCTATTTTTTGAGTTATTTATGAAAAGTAAAAACATTTATTAAAAAAAAATGTATTAAAGTTACCTTTTAACCACTCCTTGCCGGGAACTAAAGTTCCCTTTCGTCCGATAAAGGTTAAAAGGAATCAAACTTTAGTTATATTAAAAACTCAAATTTACAGAATAGATAATTCTCCAATAATGTCTGATAAAGAAAGTGCTTGTGTCAAAGAAACATAACTAATATAGTAAGCAATAAATCAAACCCATTGCTGTTTTATTTTTTAATGTCTAAAAATATTTTGGTCTAAAACTGATTTAATTTTGAAAGAATAAAACAAGAACGCATACCTTGGAGAAACTGGGCCTTCTTTGGCAAGTGCATCTGGCACTTGGCTCTTGGGAAGCATGCCTTCACAAAGAAAACAAACAAAATAGCCACAGTTCATCAATGCAGCACTTTATTTTAACCTTTTCAGTAAACTTATTGAAATATTATAAAAGGACAAAAATCACAGATGTACTACTCAATAAAGGTTCACAAAGTAAAACATACCCTGTACCCAGCACCCTGTTTGTAACCCCTCCTGACCATCATCCTTCCAAAGGCAATCAATCTTTTATCATAATTATATTATACCTGTATTTGACCTTTCTAAAAATGGAATCATATGACATGTTCTCTTTTGATCTGACTTTTTTTTTGCCCAGCATTATAGACATTATAGTTCTTATGTCAAATTGATTGATAGCAATAAATCAAACTTGGAGCTTTCTGAGGTTTTAGCCATGCTGTTGAATGCCTCAGTAGTTTGTTTGTTCTTATTAATGAGTAGTATTTATTACACTGTATAAATGTACCAAAATTTATTCATTTTCCTGTTGACAGATATTTGGGCAGTTTTCACTATTATGCAAAGTGCTGTTATAAATATTATTGTACATGTATATTTTTAAAAAACATATATCTACATTTCTGGTAGGTATATAGTGTGCATATGCTTAGCTTTATGCACTATTAAACAATTTTCTAAAGTGGTTGTACCAATTCACATTTTTCAGTTGTTCTACAACCTCATGACATGCGGTATTGTTTTTTTTCCATTTCAGTCCTTCTTTTGGGCATACATCAATAAAACATTCTAAACATCCATTAAAGCTGTGGTTTTCAAGTTGTATTGGAAAACTTTGAGACATGGAAGAATTCTGTAGATTCTGTAAACATGAAATATTTTCCTCTAACAACAGAAATGCACTGTTGTTTCTATAAAATTTTCTTTGGAAAAAGAGTACTGCTGCTAAAAGACTTTTGAAAATCACTACATTGATTATATATTATTTCTCAAAGAAAAGTAATGTTTAGTTCCTTGAAATTCTCAAATTAGAAGTCACAGTATTTATATAAAGTTAGAGTTGGGAGATGCCTTAAAGACAAACTAGTTTAGAGATTTTCAAGATGCTTTTTAGTTGGAAAATCTGTTGAAACACAAGCTTAGTGCAAGCACAGGTGTCAAACAGCCATATTTTTAGAATGAGGCTGACTGAGAGCCCTGAATTCAGGCCTCCATCACTTAGTGACCATCTCATCCCATGGAACACTGCATAATACACTTAATTTTCAGATAAACAAAGGAAGTCTGATATATGACATAAGGCCAAAAATTTGAAGCAATTAGTGAGCCTAAAGAAGAATGCTCTACCACAAAATTACAGGTATAATAAAAGAGATAAGACTACAATAAATCAAAATATATTCTTTTTAAAATGGTAAAAACAAGAAAAAATGAAATTAAGTTTTTTAGAAGCCCTAAAAGATATTTTAGTAAGAGATATATAGAGTTCAAAACCACAGTTACAGGGTTACTCATTAATCTTCTAGAAACCTCCGAGAAATTTTAGTGAGACTCTCAATGATATGAAAAAGGACCAACTAGAAATTGAGCATACACTGACTGAAATAAAGAATAATATACAGAGCTCAAACAGCAGAACAGAGGATCCCAAGAATCAAGTCAAAGATTTGAAAAGAAACAAAAAACACCCAAATGGAAAAGAAAAAAGAATCCAAAAATATGAAGATAGGGTAAGGAGCCTCTGGGACAAGTTCAAGGGCACTAACATCTGAATTATGTGGGTGCCAGAAGAGAGAAGGCAAGATATAGAAAACCTATTTGAATAAATAATGACAGAAAAACTTCCTCTACCTGGTGAAAGAAATAGACTTACAAGTTCAGGAAGCGTAGAGAACCCTAAACAAAAGGAATCCAAAGAGACACCAAGACACATCATAATTAAAATGCCAAAGGCAAAAGACAAAGAGAGATTATAAAAAGCAGCAAGAGAAAAGCAGTTACCTACAAAGGAGTACCCTTACGATTATCAGCTGATTTCTCAACAGAAACTATGCAGGCCAGAAGGGAGTGGCAAGAAATATTCAAAGTAATGAATACCAAGACCCTACCCAGCAAAGCTATCATTTAGAATTGAAGGTCAGATAGAGAGCTTCACAGATAAGGAAAAGCTAAAGGAGTTCATCACCACCAAGCCAGTATTATATGAAATGCTGAAGTGTATTCTTTAAGAAGAGGAAGAAGAAAAAAAAAGGTAAAGATAAAAATTATGAACAACAAAGTGACAACAAATACATATCTATCAACAAATGAATCTAAAAAGCAAGTGAGTAAAAAATCTGATGAACAGAACAAACTGGTAAATATAATAGAATCAGTGGCACAGAAAGGGAGTGGACTGACAATTCTTGGGGGGAGGGAGACAAGTAGGGGGAGCATGGAAAGAGAATGGAAAAAATTGTACACCTATGGATGAAGACAGTGGGGGTGGGGGGAGGAGGTAAAGGCAGGGGGGAGGGTGAGTACTAGGTGGAAGGGAGCTATGGGGAGGGGGGAAGAGAAACAACTGTAATAATCTGAACAATAAAGGTTTATTTTTAAATATATATATATATATATATATATATATATATATATATATATATATAAATAATCTTTTGGAGGTCTTTTATATAAATAAATACAACTCAATCTAAGAATTTCTATAAGAAGAAACCATAAACAGAATAAAAACATTCTAAAAACTATATAATACCATACACATATAAATTATTAGGAGAGAATAATGCCATAGGCCAAATAATACACACTTTACACATTATATCCTTGGGATAAGTTGAAGGAATTTGAGATTAATGTGAGGTGGAGTAAAATAATTAGATAAAGCAAGTTGGACTGAATAGATATTATTCCTCTCCATTCTGATTAATGGACTGATATCAAATTGAAAAGATCAAGTCTCTAATGGAATACTATAGCAGGATTTTAAACAACTGTATGAATAAAGACTTAGAAGGCAGGTAGATCACATCTACAAATACATACACCTACCACGAAGACTTAAATGAGCTGAACATGAGAGGCAGCTAATACAGCAAAAGTAGGTTTACATTTGTGAGTAGGTTAAACAAAGTTTATTCTTGTATTATTATTATTATAATTTTTCCTTATAACTGTAAACCTACTTGCTTGCCCATGCATGTATATGTGTGTGTATAACAATCTCAGAGATCTAAGGTCTGAAGAGGTAACTGTGCTAGCCAAGCCATTGGTATGTTATAGTCCATTTTTAGGGCCACCTTTAACTGAATAGTAGTTAAATGCAGTGCATCCAAAACAGGGCAATAAGAAGTAAAGGTTCTGGAAGCCATATGTGGCAGGAAATGAAATGTCCAGTCCATCAGTAATTAGTCTTTAAGTGAAGGTTGTTTGTATAGAATTACAGAAGAGCCAATCATCAGATGAAATTTAAGATCAGTGCCTCATTTATGCAGTGTTATACTATTGGATAAGCAACTTTGGTTGTTATATTGCAAACTGCACACATTAGTCTACAGTACAAACTATTTTCTCTACTTATAAAAACACTAGAGGCCTGGCCTGAAGGTATCAAGCTGAAATTGGCTCTCCTCTCAGACATCCCCCAAGGGGTCCCGGACTGTGAGAGGGTGGTTCTTGAGTGATGTAGCCCGGAATCAGGCTCCCTCCTCTCTGGTTCCGGGTGTCACCGCAGCTCGGCAACTCCTGCATTGATTGTCTGCCCCTTGGTGGGCAGTGTGCATCATAGCTACCAGTTGGATGGTCGGATGGCCACTTAGGCTTTTTTTATATATACAAATAACTCACCTGGCAATTTAGCTTATTAGCTGAATTTCTAAAACTTTCTTATGCAAAGAGGAAAAAAAACCCTATTACCAAACATACATTAATATAGTTCAGTCATAATTCCAAGTCATACTGAATGGCTGAAGAAGGCACTATTGCTGAGCCCAGCTAGAGAAGAGTGGGTTAACAGGCTATGAGCATCTGTATGTAAATACTGGAATTGATCTCACATGGCCGAGGGAAGTGACTTGTTCAGTTTTGCTTCCTAATGACTACAAGTCTTCAAGCTGGAGGACAGATGAACACACGTTCAGGGATGTTATAGAGGGGACTGCTATAAGAGTAATGGCTGGAATATGGGATCTATAGAGTTCTGTCAATACTTTAAGTTTATATCTTAAAATATATCTGAACACCCCAGGTAATTCTGTAAAGCAATATTATATATTATCAAATGAGTATGATTCATTTTTCACTATAAATGTATAACTTACCATTTAAGACTTTCTTTTCCTCATGATAGTCTGTACAGTGATTTAGAAAAAAAGTCAGATAAGAATATTATAATACCAAAAAGAATATCCTATATAATAAAGAGGTAATATGCTAATTGCCCATCATGTTCTTGCAAGATGGCGGAGCCCATACCCACAAGATAGCTGCTGCCCAATCCCCTCAGCCCTGCTGGGAAAGGGGGAAGGGGTTGCAGGCATGCTGCACAGCTGGGCCGGCCCCCAGGCGGGTCCAACCCCTCCACATGCCTGCTGCCAGAGTCCCCAGTCCCCTCAGCCCCACCAGCAATGAATTTTCATGCTATTGAAAAATTACCTTTTTAAAAAATCCTTACCCAAGGATATGATTATTTCTTTTAGATCATGTGTTCTCAGGGAGCAGGTCTAGGCCACCAGGTGGGCATTCCCCAAGGGTCTCAGACTGTAAGAGGGCGCAGGCTGGGCTGAGGGACCCTCCCCCCCACCCCACCCCCCGTGTGCATGAATTTTCATGCACCGAGCCTCCAGTCAGTTAATATTATTGACTTAAAGATATCAGCCCCTTTTTTTTGAAGGGCTTTCTTTTAAGGTCTGAGAGATAAATAAAGGCTCACATTTCAAACAAATTTCTTCTCTGAAGATTGGCAGGCCATCTCTCCAGGCATTTCACTGGGCTTTTTATCTACTTATTTGATTATTTTTCTAATATCCTGATTAACTTTTAAAGAATGTATATAAAAACCCACATTTTCCCCAGGTTATATTTTAAATTAGTCAAAATTAATAAGAATTTATAGATTATATTCTAGAAATGAAACATATATATTAACAACCCAAAGGCTGACACTTTATTATGTTTCTTTTTTATCTAGGTCAGTATTTAAAATCACCACTGTTACTCCAAATTTAAATGGCCATAATGCTGAAAATATGTTGACTTTCACATGTATATAAAATGCAATTATTAGTGTTACAACCCAGAAAAAAATTTAACAGGTATTGTTTTTCAGGATGAGAGCCAACTCACCAAGAGTTCACAAGAGTTATACCATATGGAAAATTACACTCTCAGCAAGTTGCCAGTGTTTAAAAAACAAAAACAAAAAACTAAATGACAAGCTAACACAAAATACCAAGCAATAAATTGAAAGATATCACTTGTTAGTGTGATAATACCTTGTTTTATAGAAAAAGAAACTTGAATCAAAGCTTTCACATTTTTTTATGTTCTGATTTTCAATCAACCAGAGAATCCCATAATAACCTCCCTTTCACACACCTGTCATAAAATAATCATGTTTAAGGGGGCCAGATGACCAGCCTTTTTGTTTATTTTCACCATTTGCCAAAATAATTTCATAGCTGAAAGGAATCTTAACAACATATAGGAAATTATCATGTGATACTCTATTTATGACTGAAAATCCACAGCTCTTAAGCAGCAAAGCCAAAATTAGACTCCATCTTTTCTGAAACTTAGCACCACACTAACTAAAACATTACTAGAGTTAATATTCACTGAAAACACAGAAGACCTAAAAACCATTTAGACTAGTATGCCTCAAAAGGCATACTAGTCTAAATGAGCTATGATCAAATGCCAGATAAAAATCTAGTCATTATAATTTTATGGGACAGCTGATGTCCCTGTTTAGTTACTCTCATTCAATCAGTTTCATCTGTCTTTGCTATTGCAGTTGTGATTCTTTGTTTTATCTTAGAACACACAGCAGTATCACAAGTAAATCTATTTTCAGTGTACCCACAGCTGGCAGTTTGATGAATTTCATTTATCATGTAAAACAACTTGTTGTTATCTAAGAGGCTCACAGATTTTGAGAAATTGCCCCAGTAATTAGTTTCTACTGAAAAATATGTATTTACTTCTTCCTTGATCTGAATTGATTTGAATCTGTCAGAATTTTCTGGATCCTGATAAATCAGTAATTTTTCCCTGGTTCTTTTTTTAATACAAAAAGTATCAGTAGAAAAATGATCTAAATTACCTTTAAAAACTCCATTAGTCTACTTTTGCAGCTCTTTTCAAAAAGTGAGTCATAGAAATAAAAAGACAAATTTTTGGCTAATAAGCATATTTATATCTGGATCATTTTAGTCACATGAGACACTTTGCTGACTATGAATCTCTTATTCTGTCTTGATAACTAATTCTATCATTTGGTTGGCTCCACAGCCAAGAGAATTTATCTTTTTTCATAATGTTGTATGAACTGCATTACTCTGCTTGGAACCTCTGCTTTCTGGAGAGTTTGGGGTCATTAGGAAGGCTAGCAATGTGATCTACCAGCATCCTGCTCTTCTTTGGTAAGAGGGCTAGGTAAGCACTTTTAATTGTGACCCCAATCTAGTTCACCTCTGCTGAGTGGAGGCACAGGCAGATACCCCTGCCTGGGGTAAAAAAGAAACAAAAACCCTGTTTTGCCAGTATGCTCATTCTCTTAACATATATTGTTGATCATCATCTTTACAGGGGTACTGACATAATAAGAAACTATTTGGATAAAAAGTTAGGGCAATGTAAATATATAGATAGTTTGCCTATTACATGAATTAAGATAATTTGGAATGATTCACAATAAAAGTAGTAATATGGTTACCTTTGTGTGTGCAAGGAAGGAGAGAAGGGTAGATGGGAGACAAGTGTGACAAGGGCACTTCTCATTCTTGTATCATGTGAATGTACTATTTACCCAAAAATTAAGTAAATCTAACTAAAATCAAAATGTCATTATGGCCGAAACCAGTTTGGCTCAGTAGTAGAGCATCGGTTGGTCTGCGGACTGAAAGGTCCCAGGTTCGATTCCGGTCAGGGGCATGTACGTTGGTTGTGGGGGTGTGCAAGAGGCAGCTGGTTGATGATTCTCTCATCGACGTTTCTAGCTCTCTGTCTCTCTCCCTTCCTCTCTGTAAAAATCAATAAAATATATTTAAAAAAATTTTTTAAATGTCATTATTTTCTTTTTAATACAATGTGATAAATGCTGTAAAAGATGTATGTAGAAAGTGGTATGGAAGCCTACAGAGGGTGGGTATCTGTACTTACAAGGAATTAGAAAGACTCCACTAAAGAAGTAATATTTTAGCTACATTTTAAAACTATACAGGCATGTGTCAGAAAGGCCTTGAAAAAAACATTTTAGGAAGACATATACTGAGCATTTATACCAGAATGTTTTCCATTTATCATGTAGCTACCTATCTCATTTTTTCTTCTGACTCTAAAAGATTGATATCATGAAACCATCAGATATAGGTTTAGTCTTATTACCAGAGGTCTTAATCACAAAGTCCAAAACATACCGTCGTGTTCCTTCACTGCTTAGCCTTGCCAGAAGACTCTTTGGCTCTACAATGTGTTTGATAACCATTTTTCTCTAGACTTCTTCTATTATCTCTAAATGGAACTCCTCAACATACAATTTAGGCCTAATTCTTGATTTTGTTTCAAAAGTTATATACTCATTGATCATATCTTATAAAATTTCATAATTTATATATTTCTTAATTCTCTTTACCTTTAACTTTCCTCTATTCATCTTTGAAATTATCTTCTGAATCATCTTTAAATGTTATATATCGCTCAAATTTGAAGGTCTAGAATTACTCCTTATCCTAGATAGAATTACAATAAAAATAGGATAGTTCAAAATACACACTCTGAAAAATCCCAGGATTAAATTTATACAAGAGACTCTTTAGTAGCAAAAGCAAATTAAGGCAACCTGAGATAACAAATTTGTTCCTTCAGTAAAGGCCAATTTCATCATGACACCCCGCCCCTTTTCCTCCACTAGTAGCGATCTTGCTTCCCCCAACATTAGCCTCTGAGCTTGTGTTTTGCCCACCCATTTGAGCCCTGGACTGTCCCCATTTTGCCAGTGAGGAAACTGATGCTCTTAGGAAAAAGAACACTGACTCTTTAGGAGCTGAACTTCCAGCCCATTCAATGCTGTCTTGCTAACATACCAACTTCACAGACATATGCCACTAATAACATAATTTTTTAAGGATAAATAACTAATTCATATATGAGGGTTCTCTACTTCAAAACTATTAGAATTGGGGGCTAGATAATTCTTTATTGTGGGAATCTATCCTGTGCATTATAGGGTACTTAACAGCATCCTGAACCTCTCCTCTAACCACTAGAATGCCAGGAGCATTTAGCTTAGTTGTGGCAACCAAAATGTCTCCAGACATGGCCAAATATCTCCAAGGAACAAACTCAACCCCAGTTAAAACCCACTGTCAAAAGAAAACTGCCTATGTATAAGTGGATAATTAAATAACTTTAGCCTTTGGAAATGTACATATACAAACAAGCCTCAGAATCCTCACTTTTAAACTGAGGGTGTTAGAGCAGCTCTAAGCACCTCTTCCACCTCGTAAGCATTCTCTGGTTCCATGGCTCTAAGAGAATTATAGTTATTAACTGCTTGAGAGTGGGTGTGAAAACTAAAACATAAAGTATTAGAAACCATGATAAAGCAATGAGAAATTAAAGAAGAAACATTCCTGAGACTGCACTATGCCATTGGAAAATATGAGATTTTAGAAATGAGATTTATGGTGAATTTTTTTAAAAGTTCATTTGTGATCAAGAATGTCCAAAAGAAATGCAATGTGAGCCACAAGTATAATTTCTAATTGTCTATTAGCAATGTAAAAATAAATGAATTAATTTTAATAAGATATCTTTACTTAGTATACTATATCTAGACTATTATTTCAATGTATATTCAATATAAAAATTATGAGATGTAGTCTCAAAATGCAGTGTATACTTTATACTTTCAGCACATCTCAATTTGGACTAAGCATATTTTGAGTGCTAGATAGCCACATGGGGCTTAGTGACTACCAAGACAGAAAAGTACTAGAATAAGGGCAAAGAGTAAGAACATTTTCATCTTTGCCAGAGAATGTAAAGAAATTATCAGCAACTAAAGCTTAACTTTTCAAAGTTTCCTTTTTTATTCTTTATTGATATCTTTTTAAAGCATAAACCATATATTTTTAAAACAACAGAATATAAAAATCACAGTTAGCTTAATAAGGATCCACTAGTATTATCCTATATAATAAAAGGGTAGCATGCAAATCAACTAAACAGCGGAATGACTGGTCGCTACAATGCACACTGACCACCAGGAGGCAGACATTCAATTCAGGAGCTGCTCCCTGGTGGTCAGTGCATTCCAACAGGGGAGCACCGCTCAACCACAAGCCAGGCTGACAACTGGCAAGCAAAGCAGCCCGCCTCCATAGCAGCACTAAGGATGTCCAACTGCAGAGAGGGCCTAAGCCAGCAGTCGGACATCCCCCGAGGGCTCCCAGACTATGAAAGGGCACAAGCCGGGCTGAGGGACTCCCACGCAGTGCACAAATCTTGTGCACTGGGTCTTTAGTGTTTTATATTCTGACTCTGCTGGCTTTTCTGTTCCCTTCCTAGATACGTAGGCATTTCACCACTGCCAAACTAAAAACCACCAGATAAAATGAAAACTACACTGCCCAACTGTGCAGATGCCCACAAAATGCCAATTCTGGATGCCCCAGCATTGATGTCTGGCAGGTGACCCCACCTAAATGATGGTGTCAGGGGTCTGATATTGAGAAAAGGCCATACATAAAATTCCTCTTCAATATATCCACAGTCTCCCCACCCCCACCCCACCTCCATAAATCCTCATCTCAGCAAGTCTCTTTCCACCTATTATTTCCATTTTATCTCATTTCACTCTCTGTTCCCATTTCATGTTTTCATTCTCTATTTCTACTTAATCTATTTTCATCCTCTAGTCTCATTTCATCTCTGTTTCATCCTCTGTTCTTACTGCACCCAGGAGTTCTGATTATAGAGTGAACACATGCCCTGAGTTGTCAGAGTCAATTCACCACGTTATCCCAGCATAAGTACTAACAGAATCAAACCTGTCCCAGTTTGGACAGTTATACAGTTAGCCCATCTAATAATATTCTCTGTCATAAGTCTCAGGCCAGTAGAGATCAATGATGAATCCCTGACTATAAAGGAAGAGTTAGTCACTGTTTTATTCTAAAGAAGAACTAAAGTAAAACCTTTATAGCGGCCAGTGAAAATGAGAACAAATAGTGATTTATTTAAATCTATTTGTTGAAATCCAAGTTTAAGAAAAGTACACGTCAATGCCAGCTTAGCACTGGCACCACTTACCTTTGGGAACAGCAGGTTTCACTGCCATCCTGCCAACCAGGCATTCTTTCAGCATAGATTCATAATTGACCCAACGATGAACCTGGTATGGGATAGAAATGATAGAAAAGCAACATGACTAACTCCACGAGATGCTCTGATTTTATTCTGAGCAAAACTAAAACATTTTTACACTGCTCTGAAAAATGAAGCAGATTATTTTCCAACAAGGGAGTGATGGAAAGGCAGCAAACACAGGGTAACAATGTTCCCAAAGTGTTGTCTATAGACCCCTAGAGGTTTTGATGCCCTTTCAGATATCCATGAAGTCTCGATTAGTTTCAAAATATACAAAAAATTTGCCTTTTCCACTGTGTTAACATTGGCACTAATGTCAAAAGTGTAATGGTGGATAAAGTTGCTTTCATCTTAGCATAAATTAAGGTAGTGATTTCAATCATATTCTTTACCAGACCCATGGTTTCATTTAACATCTTTCAGGAAATAGAAAATATTAATTTTCTTAAATCTCAACTCTTGAGTACAAGTTTTTTCTATATTCTGTGTGACAAAATGGAAGTCCACAAAAGCACTTCTACTGCAAGGTAAGATGATATCCCTGTAGAAAATCCCTTAGGCAAGTGTTTGATTTGCAAATTAAAGTGAGTTTTCTTCTTGAAAGACTGTTCCTGGCTTAGGAGAAAAAGAATAACCTATAAACAAGCTGTTATTCAGTCAAGCATCTGACAGACATTTTCTTGAAAAGGAACACAGTAAGACCGTCACTTAAAGGAAAATGAATTAGGGTATTTGTTGCCAGACTTATAGTGGGAATTTAATTTAAACAACTTTTCTGAAGGGTACCTTCCCAATATACATACAATAAAAGCCTTAAAATATGCAGCTCTTTCATTCATTTTGAAATTTACTTAAAATATTTACATTTTTGTACATACACAAAGATATAAGTACAAGGTTACTCATCACAGCACTATTTATATCATCAAAATATTGGAAACATCCTAAATGTCCAATTGTAAAAGACCAATATAGGAAAATTATATTATTTGATAAAATACTATGTAATCACTAAAATAATCAGGTCAAATACTTCTAATGTCAGAATCTTTATGTATGTCCTGAGCATAAATATATACTAAAATAGAAAATATGTAAAGAAAATATATGTAATTATAAATAGACACTCATTTATTAACATAAATTAAAATTTCACTTACCAAATATTTTTGGAGCATCCAATAATGTGTAAAGCACTATCTCTGCTTTCCTCTCATCATCATTGCCTCCCATAAATCAGTCATAATCATTATCAAAATTTATAAAAACTGAGTAAACAACTGCCAACAGAGGCAATAAGCACTTAAGAGTAGACAACTAGTTCAATAGATGTGCTTCAAGGGTTGAGCACTGACCCATGCACCAAGAGGTTGCCAATTCGATTCCTGGTCAAGGCACATGCCTAGATTGTAAGCTTGATTCCCAATGTGGGGGAGTGCAGGAGACAGCTGATCCATGTTTCTCTCTCACTGATATTTCTGTATATCTCTTCCCTCTCCTTCCCTCTCTCTCTAAAAGTTAATAACATATTTTTAAAAATTTTTTATAAAAGAATAGATTCCTAGACACAGATTTGAAATCATCTTTAAAAATTTAGTAAAATAATTCAGAGGCAACCTAAATGAACTGTTGTTACTTAATCTGAAATGTAGGCAACTATTTTCTTTTTTCCCCCATAACTATCACACTGCTAAATCTGTGAGTACTTTCCCATTATAATACAATGATTACTTTCAGTAATCTTGCCTCATGAAAAAGGTCTTTGATCAGATCTTACCTGATCAAAAAGGTCTGTTCCATCTGAGCCTGCTGCTTTCATTAATTCATCTTCTCCACCAGGATGATACTCCATATATGGGCTAACATTGTAAACAAACCCTATGTCAAAGCAAGGAGAAATAATATCCTAAATGAACTTCTTAAAACTTGTACAAATTACAAATATAAGTTCCAATAAATCTTTGAAAATACATCCTATTTATTATGCTCAAGTATTAAGAAACAGGCAGAAATAGAGTCATGAAACATCAGGAATGGTGCTTTTAAATCCATTTACATGGGGGAACTTTAGTAGCAGAGGGAGATTTAGACAGTCTATTGTCTGTCTGTCCATCTATTGGAGTCAGTCAGTCTGTCTAGCTATCTTCTCTTTGCTAATACTTTATTTTGTTTTATATTTTGTTATTAAACTCTAACCAGAAGTAGATCCAATAAAATGACTGACTAATGCTAAGAAGAGCAATTTAGTTTCACCAAACAACAAATTTATACAATGTTATTTTCAATCACATCTCAATGAAACAAATTTATACAATGTTATTTTCAATCACATCTCAATGGTATTTTTTTTAAAAGGAGGAAGAAGAAGGAGGAGATGGAAGTGGAGGAGGGGCAGCAGCAATTTATTTTAAAGTTAAAATACAACAGTTCGGTTAGGAACATATACTCTAATGTTTAAATACATCATTTTTAAATGCCCTAGCAATGGGGTATATTTTATAGCTAATTTAGCCTAGCAGAGGTGCTATGCAACAGAAAACACACATTCAGAACAATCACTATACTGAGTTCTTTAGGCAATGCACTAGTAGTACCTGTTTTAATAGTTTCACACTAAACTATCTTTTTTGTATTATATGTCTAAAACTTTGAGCTCTCAAATTCTTAGAATAAAAATTACCCACTTTAAAATTACCACAGTGCTATGTACAGTCAGAAACTTACACTGCCAAGTCAATCACAGAATGACAGTCTTAAGTCTGACCTCTCATCCAGTACAGGATTCCCCTCTACAGAAGCTACAGACAGACTGTCAGCTAGAATCTGCTTGAAAAGTACCAGTGTATAGGAGCTTATTGTTTGTTTAAAAACCTAGTTAAGGATCAATATTACTTTAATGACTGAAAACTAAAGTTCCCATTTACATAAAAAGAGCTCTTTTCCATCTTGGCAGCTGCTACCTCTAGTTTTTCACATATACTTTTTATATTTGTTGTAATTTAAATCCCAACTGCTACTGATAAAGACCACAGGCATCTTACAAGAAAATACTTGCATTTGTGTGCAAAATTTAAAGAACCACACCAAAACATGTAAAAGAAATACACTAGTCGCCTAACCTAGTTAACAATGTTACTATGGTTGTTATTAGTCCTGAATTTCCTAACAGCCAAAGCCAAAAGAGATATTAGTAACAGTGGTCTCGTTATCCAATCTTAAAAAGCATTACAAGGACACAAGCAAACAAACCACAAAAGAAGAGAGATTCACTAGTTATTTAAAAGACAAAAACTCCCTTTGAGCATTTGCTATTGATATTGTGAAGAATTATGAATCCCTATGTAGGGGCCATTGACCACAACAGATAGTACAACCTAACAATATACAGAAACATTATTCATTTAGCATCCCTCCCACCTTCCCCAGCCCTAGGTAAAATGTACTCTCTCCCTCTTCAGAATGCATATTTTGAGCATTTTGTATAAATAGAAACATATAGTATGTGGTCTTTTATGTTTGCCTTCTTTTACTCAGTATATTTTCAAAGTTCATTCATGCTGTTGCATGCATTAATACTTCATTTCTTTTAATGCTGAGTAACATTCCATGGATAGGCATGCCACATTTTGTTTATTCTTTTATCAGTTCATGAACATCTACATTGTTTCCACTTTAGGGCTATCCTATATAATAAAAGGCTATTATGCTAAATCCTGGTCGACTGGTTGGCCATTCAACTAATCAAAGTGCAATATGCTATTGCTATGCTAAGGCCACTCAATTGCTTGCTGTGGCATGCACTGACCACCAGGGGGCAGACAGTTGACTGGTCAACCAGTCGCTATGACGTGTACTAACCACCAGGGGGCAGATGTTCCAAATGGTAGGTTAGTTTGCTGTTTGGGGTCTGGCTGATCAGGACTGAGTGAGACGGACAGAACATGACCTGTGGCCCTCTTGTGGTCCCTCGATGGTTGGCTAAGCTCCTGCATCCCTCCCCCACCAGAATCGTGCACTGGTGGGGTCCCTCGGCCGGGTCCCTCTAGCAAGCCAGGACCCCTCAGAGGATGTCAGAGAGCTGATTTCAGTCCAATCCCACAGGGGCCCCACTAGTGCACGAATTCACACACCAGGCCTCTAGTTATAAATAATACTGCTATGAACATTTATGTATGAGTTTTTGTATAGACATATATTTTTATTTCTTTTGAGTATACATTTAGAAGTGAATTTTTGGGTCACATAGCTATCTATGTTGAACCTATTGAGGAACTGCCCGACTGTTTTCCATTCTCAACAGCAATATGTGAACATTCTAATTTCAGAGAGCTCCTTTTCAGGCACTATTCCAACTATGCATAGAAGGAAATGCCTTTTCCCACCTATAGAACCTGAGTCACACCACATTTTTCAGATAACTGGACTCAGAACTGGATTACAGCATGCTCCAACTTATTCTCAACCCCGCAACTCTATGTGAGATAGTACAGTGTTAGACTTAAGTGACATTTTGTTCTTACCTATTTAATCTATCCCCCATTTGAGGCTCCCACTACTTTTCAGGTTAGGCAACCATACACAGGAACCTAATAGCCCTCCACCAAGGAGCGACCTGCATCTCCATGATTCAGGCCATCTACTCACTAATAACTTTTCTTTTTCCCTCTGCTCTATTTTGTAATTCAGAGTTTTAAGCATGGTCCAGGGGCTTCTGAGGGAGCTCAAGACTCTTTGGGTGGTCCAAGACCAAAACTTTTTGGTAGTATTATGAAGATGCTATCTGAATTTTTTTTTTTTTAAATCTCATTCTTTCACAGGTGTATAAGATTAAATAGAAAAGGTGACATGAGACTACTGTGGTCATCTATTAAGCAATACAGTAAAAATATCTGCTAAAATGTAAAATACAAAATTTCTCACTAAATTTTTAATGTATTTATTTTTCACAAATATGTATTATTCATAACACAGTGAGCTTATTTTTAACTTTCAACTTTAAAATATCCTTTGCATTTCTTAATTTTCATTTCTGAAAGGTAAATATCAATAGCTCCTCATAAAGGGCCATCACAAAGCTCTTTGGGGCCCACAATAATTTTTAAAAGAGTACAGAGAGCCGAGATCGGTTTGGCTCAATGGATAGAGCGTCGGCTTGGGGACTGAAGGGTCCCGGGTTCGATTCCGATCAGGGGCATGTACCTTGGTTGCGGGCATATCCCCAGTGGGGGGTGTGCAAGAGGCAGCTGATTGATGACTCTCTCTCATTGATGTTTCTAACTCTCTATCTCTCTCCCTTCCTCTCTGTACAAAATCAATAAAATATATATATATATATATTATATATATATATATAAAGAGTACAGAGAGTTTAAAACCAAAAGTTTGAGAACTACTGCTCTCAGTAAGAACAGTATTTTTATAATTAGATTTTAAAATAATTTTTGTTTCAAAATTTAATCACAGATTTAACTTCAAACCCCCACATTATATTCATTCAAAAAAATGTATTTAATGCCTATTATGGAAGGGCCAAGTATTACGGCACCATATTGCAGGATTCCTGTTTATTTTATTAATTACCACTGTTCATTTTGTTGGCACTAAAATAAACGAAGGAAAAGGGTATGTTCACATAATAAAAGAACTGCATATTTCACTATATTCAAGTACACATCCATTTTTGCAAGCACTGTGACTACTGTGCCATCTTGTGTTCCATGCAGAAACTGCATATGATTATTTTATAATAGGTCTACTGGTGTTTATTTAGTTCTTCTAACTGCTAAGAGAGGATGAAAAAAAAAAGTGCAACACGATTGTGCATTTTAATTATCTTACAATTCTGTTAATGTTTGCTTCATATATTCTGAAACTTTGTCAGACATAAACATTCTTTCTGAATTTAGAGCTACAATTTTATTAGTTTCTTTCCCCAGACCCAAGTTTTCTTCCCTACCCCAACCCTGAAGATTTTGTTTGTGTCTCTGTTTCTTTATTTCCCTGACTTCTTTTGAGTTAATCTAATATTTTTCAGAATTTCTTATTATTGGCGTTTAGCTATACCTCTTTGTGTTATGTTTTCAGTGGCTGTCCGAGAGCTTATAATATATACACTTAACATTACCCAGTTTACTTAGGTTACTATTGTATATCCTTTCACATTTAATATAAGGACAATTTACCACTCTCTATCCCTATACTTTATATAACGTAACAATACAATGTTACAATTTTTGCTTTAAATAGTCATGCATTTTTTAAAGGGAAAAATGTATTTTTATCTCTTTACTCATATATTTATCATTTCCTAAAGATCTAAATTTCCATCTGGTGTCATTACCTTTCAACTTGATCAACTTTCTTCAAAATGTCACTCACTGCTCAGAATGTTGGTTAATTTTTAATGTTTTAACTGGTACATTTCCTTTTAGTTTATTGTTTTTCCTAATATTAATAAGGTCACATAAGATGATCTTTGGTAGTTTTGCCCAGATGACCTTCAGAAGTGCTCAGAGACCCTTTATTACATTCTGTTTAAATTATTCTGTGCCCTGAGTAGGAGACAGAGAACATGGCCACTGGGGAAGTGACAAAAGTACTAAGAAAACTCAGCCCCCGGGGCTCAGGTGCACAGGGCCTGCCTAAGACAGGGGCTAAAATACAACAATTGCAAAACATCTTCTGCCCCGTCTTGCACCAAGTAATAAGCAAGAGCAGTCTGCCACTGGGAGAAGAACAAGAGCATAAAGAGAGAACCTGCCCAGAGCAGGTAGAGCAAGCTGTAAGTTAAGAGTAGAACAGGGCCAATGAGAAAAATCCTCTAGCAGTGCTGGACCCATACAAAACACAAGGTAGCAATAACCCACTGTTGAAGGAAT